GAGGGGGGGGGGTTAACACCCCCTGGAATCTCTCTAACCCCTCTAATATAAAAATGTTCAACCGCACCAAAATTTTGCTTCACCCCTCCTATTTTGTGTGAAAGGCTTTAACCCAAACACCTAACCCCTGGCAAAGGTCACTTAGTGGTGCTGCTTGCACCCCACCAGAAATTTTCTACCCCTCCTTTTAAATAAATGAATATCCGCCCTTGAATGACTGACTCTGAGCCTTCAACTGTTATAATTGTAAAATTAATAAAATAAAATTTTAAAAAGTGGAAGAAAGTCAATTAGAGGAAGTGAAACACTCAGAAAAGTACTACTGTTTAATAAAAAGGTGGAGAATTTAGACTGAAAATATTAAAATTTTGTTGGCATCTCACTCGATTGAATAATACTGTAGTTGAGAATATTAAGTACAGTTTAAAATGACGAGAATGCTTGTATCACAGCGGATAGCCCAGCCCCCGGCCCAGACACTCTCCGCTAGTAGTGTCTCCCCACCCAATGTAATAAACAAAAATGCTCAGATTTACAAGAATTTTTTAAAAATCTTTGTCAAATTTTGATAAATACAATAAACATTTATGATTCGTGTTCGAGTACTGTACTAAGGGAGCGTTCATAATTTATGTGGTGGGGGTGCTGCTGTATGAGGATTTTATGGGGGGTCGGCTATTTTACCAGTAATATTTAGGGGGGGGGGGGCTGTAGAGAATAAGTTAAGAATCTGGAAGGGGGAGGTCATCAAGAAACGCTATACTATTCACACTTGTCGTGTTTATCATAATTGAAGTATCGCAAAATTGAAGACTTTAACTTCGTTCATTGTCAGCGTATTGAAAAAGTCGCAAAAATGAGCAAGGCAAACTTGTCTATGAACCCTAGTCGGGTAACCGCAATAAATGTTATTTTCCAAAGGGTTGATACTCAACAGTTGTGCAACACTAATATATTGATGAGTATAAAATATATTTGTTACCTGAAGTCTATACAATGTATACAGTTAATTAATTCAAAAGGTTGTTCTGAAAACCTTAAACTTTAAACCCCAAACTGTTAGCAAATATACTACATTATTCACACTAATAGTAATGGTATTTTGTATCATACAACTCAAAGAATTAAAAAATGGCCAATTTTTTCCATGTTCATTATGCTTTGCACGCTTAGAGTTTAAGGTTTATACGATCTTCAAGGTAGGCAGTTGCGATTTGAAAAAATCGATATATCGATATCGAAAAAAAAATATCGATAATATCGACTATTTCGAATTATGCAAATGAGAAAACGTAATTTAGTCAACTTAATAATAATAATATTTAATGAGGGATTACATTGCAGGGCTGCAAATAAATATTTGACTTGACAGGACATTTGTCCGATCACTTTTAATTTTGGTCGGACATAACTTGAATTTGGTCGGACAAAAACCAACATCACTAAATTTAGTCGGCCATAAATAAGTCACAAGATATAAATAAGTCATGAGACAAGTATGTATGCCATTTCAGCGCAACGTTAAGTAGAATTAAATGCTACAACGCCTTGTAAATTTTATTGCAAAATGCAAATTAAGTGAATTTGCAATCGGATTTTGTCACAGCAAAAAAATGTATAATGTGGCAATTATTTTTTGTGATCGGATCAATGTCCGATCAAAATTACTTTTGCTCGGACATTTGCCAAATTTAGTCGGACATTGTCCGATGTCCGACAGCAATTTGCAGCCCTGCATTGATTACTTAATATAGTATTCTTCCCAATGGCCCTCGATGTCTAATATAAAAAAAAATCCTATTGAGAGTAACATTGACAATGAGTAATATGCTTACAATCGATGCAGCGGAACTTATTAACGTGATGTAAACGAGTCATGGTACGTCTCAAAGATTTAACTGATTTATTAACAATGGTTTATTACAAGCCTAATGGTTTCACAGTACGATTGTGTAATGTATATAATGTTTATAAATTTTCTGCGAGAAACACTATAACATGTTTGCCTGACTTGGCTTGAGGCATACTCGCTTTGCCGTATATTAACTATCTCGGTCCCGCTTTGCTAAAAAGTCTTTCAGTTGGAGCACTGCTCGCCGGAATCGCCAGATATCGTCGGACATACTGCGACAGAAGAGTAAAATCATTCTCATTTTGACACCGCCTTGTTTTTAAACCTGCGTCGATACACGTCAAATATTACTGTATTATTCAAATTATTGCGAATTCTATCTTTATGAGTCATCACAAAACTATTGTTTTCAAGCATTCAGTGCCTCTGCTTGGTGATCTTCTGTGTTCACAGTTTCTCTATTTTCGCTTTTAATTTCAATTGCCCACGCACTTGTATCATAAATTTGCAATTGCCGCCATAAAGGCATACACACTTTGTCTAAACTTCACCAGTGAAAACAACAATAGACCTTTCCCCTTATTACGTTTTCGTGGCGCTTTGCATTGTGGTTATAGTGGTATCACTGATATTCAAGATGGCTTATCTTTTGTCCTGACCCGTGCAAGAACTTTAAAAAAAAGCTAGGGTCAGGTGCGCGATAGCCAACAGCAAAATATTCGCGAAAACATTCAATATTTTCATTCGAGGCCGCTATCTTTATCGGTGATACCATTATAACCACAATGCAAAGCGCTACGAAAACGTAATAAGGGGAAAGGTCTATTGCCGAATAATCGGAGATTAAGTTGTTTAAGTTGTTTAGTTACAACTTCGATATTTTCGATGTGCGAAAAATCGAATATCGATATTTTTGAAGTATCGATATTTATCGAAAATATCGATATATCGCAACTGCCTACTTTAAGGTTTTGACTTTCTCAGGACAACCTTCTTTCAATCATTCAGACTAAACAACTGCGCTCCCACCATCTGGATTTGTAGCATTGCAGACATTTACTGAATATGTTTATTTCATTGATGATTGTTATTGTCAAAACTTGCTGTTTAAATACCCTCAAGAGATTTCATCAACATGAAAAAAAGGAAAAGAAATCGTATTATAATTCGAATATTTTTTTTCGCGGGGGGGTCATGATCTGATCTGATTTTTTGTAACTATTGAATGTTTGTTGTTTGGGGGGGGGGTCGCCAAAAATATTGCAGGTATGGAGGGGGGGGGCTTGCCAAAAAATATTTCAAAGTGCAAAATCCGCATAGCCCCTCACATAAATTATGAACGCTCCCTAAAGGCTAGTTTCTACTCAGGAGAATTATCCGTGGATTGGAACGGACAAGAAAATTTTTGCCTTAAAGGCTAATTTCCACTCAGGAAAATTATCCGTGGATTGGAACCGACAAGAAAATTTTTCTTTGTCTTGTGAGCTCTGGGTTGGAACTAATGACTTTAACACAAAAAAGATTTTCTTGTCCGTTCCAATCCACGGATAATTTTCCTGAGTGGAAATTAGCCTTTAGGCCCCGTTTACATGAAACCGGGACGAAGTCAGACCGGAATGAAAATTGAAATTGTCAACATGTTTACATGAGGCCGGTACGAAAATCTTTTTCAGATGGCTTTTGTTATAGCATGTGTTGTTTCAATGTCAAGGTTGCAGCCGAGACCGGTCTGAAATGTGTTTATGTTTACATTCATCCCAATCGGTTCGGTCCAGCAGGCGGTTGACTTGAGACCGGTCTGAGTTATTTTCGTCCCGGTCTCATGCAAACATCTATTATAAATAATACTATGACCGAAACGAAATGGTCCCGGTTTGACTTCGTTCCGGTCTCATGTAAACGGGGCCTAAGGTGAAAAACTACTCAGCCAGTATTAAAGTGAGCAACTACAGGCTGGGACTATGCATGCTTGTACAGTAGTTACATTAATAGTCACCTATAGGGAAGATTTTTTACTAAATTGCACTTTTTATTAAGTCATCAAGTGCAAAGTATCACGGCTACTCGTATATTTTTGAAATGTGGATACATTAGGCGAGAAAGAGCCGGAAAATCGCAAACAAAAATCGCGTGTGCAGGTAGAGAGCAAGTTTGCTTGGTAAATGGCCACACATCCTTACCGAAGAAAATAATATGCGGTGTCCCCCAGGGTTCAATTCTAGGACCATTGTTATTTTTACTTTATGTAAACGACATGCCAGATCACTTGAAAAAAACAACTCCCGTATCTCCCGTATTTCGTCTTCTTCATATGATCTTGAGACATTAGGTCAAAATTTAAATGATGATCTAAATAATAGTTAAAAGGTGGCTTTTAAAAAATAATTTTCAATATCATCCCACCAAAACAAAAGTCATGTTTATTGCGTCATCTTACAACCTCATCAATAAAATTGGAACTGATATGCCAATATTGATGAATAATACCCGAGTCCCTCGAACCAGCAAATATACATGTTTAGGGATGGACATTGACGAAAAATTAACGTGGGATGCACACATCGATTCAATATGCTCTAAAGTCAGTGCTGGAATTGGGGCTATGAAACGGTATAAAGCCCTTTGTCCCACCTGCAATACTGCAAACAATTTAAGCCGGTTTTCCACTAGCGAAATTTATCGCGCGAATCTTTTATCTTATAACGTTATTATCCCGGCATCTCTAGAAAATAATGAAGTTTTTTGCTGAATTATGCACTGTGACTTATTTCAGCACATTGAAATCATCCTGCCTCATATATATTCTGGCAAAGTGGGATCATATAAACAGACCCTTATTCAGCAAATTGCGCATGCTGCTTTTCATCCCTTGGGGCGAGGCAGTATTTCCTTGCGATAGTAACTTCTAGTAATAATTTTTTTTCAATTTTAACAACAAAAATTCGCTTCGCGCGAAAAAAATCGCTGGTGGAAAACCGGCTTTACAAAGCATTAATTCTTTGATTATTGTTCCCCTCTGTGGGATACCTGTGGAAAACTCTTCAAGGTAAACTACAAAAATTTCAATCCCGTGGAGCTAGAGTGATACCCTGAGTACCCTGGGTACCAGAGCTTCTTATGAAGTGAGGACACGACGAAGAGGCTCTGGTCACACGAGCCTCCAGCCATCTGTAATGTTTATTACATTATGAGGTGTAGAATTTGCCAGAATAGATGGGTTTCTTCGACTGCAAAGTCCCCTAAATTCATTGACAACATCCTTCTCAATTTTACACATGATCATGTCTTTAAGATCTCTTGAGTCCCATACAGCATTTGCAATGGAAACACGTTCATTGTTAGCAACACCTCTTATGATCTTGGCATCTAAGGCCCGTTTCATACGTCGCGCTATCGTCGAATTTAATTCAGACGAATTTAATTGAACGAATTAAATGCGACGGTAGTGCATCGTATGAAACGAATTAAATTCGTCTGATGAATTAAAGTCGTCCAAGACGTTTTATCCGTCATGGTCAGCGGATACAACGTCTGTAGCGCGTCTTCGTTTCATACGACGTGTTATCGTCGTGTCGAATTAAATGCATAAATTATGTTAAAGTCTGTTTCTCTTTTTCTGATCTCGTGGTTTTTACTTCTCGGTATAATCCATGATCGCTAGACATGAAATGAATTCGTCTGAATTAAATTCGTCGTTTGAAACGAAACCATTTTAGTGTCGAACAATTGACGAATTTAATAACGAATTAAATTCGTCTGAATTAAATTCGACGTATGAAAGTTATAGTTTTGTGCTTCTGTGTAGACGGATAGTCTATTGTCACCTACATTATAAACAAATAGCTCTTTTGATAGTTTTTACAGGTAAATTATAGTATTTGTATTTTTTTAAAACTTACCTCTACGTTAGTTTTGGAACGATTCATAACTCTGGGTTGGGAATTCACAAACAAGTCGTCGTGATTCGGAAGTTCTGTTAAAAACATAGGCGTTGCACTTGGCTGTAAAATATTTCGTCGAACTTCTGTTTCACACGCTTTTCTTTTCACGGGCTTTTCATTTTTTGGAGAATCTAAAAACGTGCACCTTTTAAAGCGTTCACCAGAGTTCTCTTTGTCATTTACTATAAATGTTCTTTGCTCTTTAGCAGTTCTCTCAGCCGTTTCTTTAAATCTAACAAGGTCGGCTGTTGCCTTTTCCAACCTTTCGAGGTTCCTCTTGCAGTTCAAACATATCGTAGAAGAGGTTCCATCCTTCGACACAGAAGTTTGGAGAATGTACGACAACCTTTCAGCAAGTTTATCCCGAACTGATTTGGCGCCTTCAAAAATGTTTAGCTTCCCTCTGCCAGAAATACGTATATCGATACCACAAATTCGACAGAAGTGGTTTATGTTATTATTTTGCTTATTAATAACTTTTTTTACTGGGGTGTTTTCCATAGACATATTTAATATAGTTTACAGCTATTTCAATTAAGGTTGTCCACGAGCAAAGCGGAAAAGTCGAATACGAGCGCGAAAGGCTGCTGGGAATCGCTAACAAATTAATGAATTTTCAAAGCGATTCCCATCAGCCTTTCGCGCTCGTATTCGACTTTTCCGCTTTGCTCGTGGACAACCTTAATTGAAATAGCTGTATACGCTCAATCGCTTTTCTGACACGCGACATCGAGGCGCCATCATGTCAACACTAGAAATTAGAAAACCGGTTTTTCTCTGACGTCATATCTGTAGTAAACAAGTGAGGCTGGAGGCTCGTGTGACCAGAGCCTCCTCGTCGTGTCCTCACTTCATAAGAGGCTCTGGTACCCAGGGTACTAGAGTGATTAATGGAGCCAGTTATGATATTAGGTCTACTGATGTTTTGGATGCTCTCGGTTGGCAAACACTTGATGTGAAACGTTTAGAAAATAAATTAATAATGATGTACAAAATACTTAATAACCACACTGCCCCTAATCTAAACGAGTGTTTCTGCAAAAGAAACACAATTCAGTCTAATTATGATTTGCGTAGTAGCGATACAGACCTATGCTTACCTAAGCCTAATAGTGAATTTGTAAAGAAAACTTTGCGATATAGTGGTGCCATGCAATGGAATCATCTTTCTGTGGATTCAAAAAATTCTGAAACCCTTTCTTCTTTTAAAAGAAAACTACGTCAGGCATGAACACCTCCTTTGGATCGCACCAATTGTTAAGTTTTTATATAATCCCTTTTCTATTTTTGCTTCCTTGTTTTTGGCTCGAGTCATAGTTTCGCTTCGGATTTTTTTTCGCGCAAGACTTATTCTCCCACGCGGCCGCTCTTAATTCTGGCCAATCGAAACAAATCGTGGACGCATGTGATTAGTTATGCTTATCTTATTGGCGTTCAGCGGGTTATTCGACTTCCTGCTCTTCGTGCTGGCGTTCAATCCCTTCAATGGCTCATTCGACTTCCTGTTCTCGTGCTATTACTTTGTTTACTCTCTGAGGACTGTACTCAGTACTCTTTGGGAAAAATCAAAGGTTTTCAAAGGTCTAGTAAGATCTGACCATTTGGTTGTCATGGTTTCCCCGCGACAAGCTATAAAACCCGAAAGAAAGGATGTCTACTTTAGAGACGTAAGAGCTCAACGGAAATTCAGCATGATGAGGAAATTGGAGACATGTGATTGGAGTCACATTTATAATTGCAATAATGTCATTGATACAGTTACTCTATTAAATGACACTATCACCAACATGTTTAATGACTGTTTCCCGTTAATTAAAGTAAAAATGTCAACACGTGACCCACCATATATGTCTCCTTTGGTCAAACACTTATGTAAGATAAGGAATAAGAACATAACGAAGGGAGTCAATAATGATCTGCAAAAACGTATTGATGAGCTAATTCGTGAAAATCTTGTTCGTTCCGTTGATGATGAGAATAGAAAAAATAGTTTTGGATCCAAAAAGTGGTGGGATACTGTGAATAGAATTACTGGTAGAAAAAGCAAGAACAGCAATATTAGCTCAGTCATCGATCCACAACATATTAACTCGTACTTTCAAAATGTAAACACGGATGCGAACTACATATCCCCCCAACTCATACCAATTCCTATAGGTACCCGAGTTCCTACCATTGATGAGCCTACTGTTATTAATTTTTTGACGAAACTAAAACGAACAGCGCCAGGTCCTGATGGGCTTCCATATTGGTTATGGAAAGACTTTGCACAACTTTTAGCGCCCATAATTACCAAAGTGTTCAATCTCTCAATCGAACAACAATGTGTCCCCCTGATGTGGAAGCTCGCCAATGTGAACCCTATACCCAAAGAATCTCCTTTGACAGAGTGTAATCAGTTGAGGCCTATATCGCTCACAAACATCATTATGAGATTATTTGAAAGGGTAGTTTATAAACAGGAGATTGCGTCTGCATTCAAATCCGTGATCGGACGAGATCAATTTGCTTATAAAGAGGGAACAAATACTACCGATGCTCTGATTATGTGTTTGCATCATTGGCTCAAGTGGCTGGATGAAGGTGCAGACTCTGTTAGGGTAACATCATTTGACTATAAGAAAGCGTTTGACTCGGTATCCCATAACATTATTTGTGAAAAATTGAAAACACTCGAAATTAATCCGTATACTATAAATTGGATTATTAGTTTTCTGGCCAACAGAAAACAAAGAGTTGTTGTTGATGGCATAGAAACTGTTTATGTTGATATCAACAAAGGCGTACCGCAGGGTACGCTTTTGGGTCCCTTTCTATTTTCGTTGATGGTTAATGATATAAAACCCATGGATGCGCAAAATAACCTATTGGTTAAATTTGCTGACGATATAACGACAAGTGCTCCAGTAAAATCAGGATCGGATTCTACTGAGGCTGAGGTGGAAAGCATTCAGAATTGGTCGGAAGCAAATCAAATGACATTAAATCTCTCTAAAACGTGGGAAATGGTTGTGCACTGTAGGTCCATGATACCGTTACCGGCACCAATTGTAGGCATTGAACGAAAGATCTGGTTGAAATTATTAGGTGTCACATTTCAGGAAAATCCATGTTGCTGGGATCTTCATATCGATGATCTTCTGTCGAAGGCCAGCGGGCGTATGTACATATTGAGAGTGTGTAGATGCTATGGTTACTCTGCAGATCAGCTAAGCAAATTATTCGATTCGCTAATCATGTCACTCTTTTACTATTGCATTGAAGTGTGGGGCTCTGCACTCCAAAAGAAATATTTGGATCGTATAGACAAGTTTTTCCGGCGGGCTTATCGTTATGGATATACGACAAAGAGTATTAAGATAACTGAAGTGATCGAGGAGAGAGACAGAAAATTATTCAGCAAAATCCTATCGAATCCAGAACATGCCCTACATGAATTGCTTCCTGTGTGTAAACAAAGGATCTTAAGACAAAGGGAACATAACTTTATTTTACCTCAAATTAAAACGGAGCGATTTAAACGATCCTTTATAAATAGATATCTTTTTAACTATTTTTAACTTTTATATAATTAATTAGGATAGATCAATTTTTTTAACTGTAACAAATAGGAATTTGACATTTGTAAAGTTGCACGTCTGTTGTGACTCTAGACAATAAAGACTTTAATAATAATAAATAATAATAATAATAATAATAATAATAATAATAATAATACAACCGGAAGTACGTGATTTTATAAACCTCTTTTCAATCTGCGCATGCTCACCAATACGTTTCGCTGCGATACGGGCGAAGTGGAAAACCGGCTTAAACCACTGCGCCACAAGGAACCCGCTCAGTTAGCTTGTAAATAATTTTAGATTATGCAAGTCTGTTTTAACAGATGCAGTGTAATACTAATTATATGAGAGATGCGAGACGAGATTTAACAATGCATTATCTCTTTATTTCACTCTTCAAATAACCAAAATACAGTGAATTTCAAAGTAAACTAATAACAAACTTTAAACTAAGTTCCCCTCTTTACACAGTCCGCTGACCTGCGCCTGCTTCTCGTCTTTTTGTAAACGACCTAAATAAGGCAAAGAAACAATATCCCATAACAACAATGCATGGGGAGGGAAACAACGTGGCGGGAATGCATTGTTAAATCTCGTCTCGCATCTCATATAATTAATATTATACCGCATCTGTTAAAACAGACTTGCATAATCTAAAATTATATTTCGAGATACTCGACTTCAATTTAACAATGCATGTTTAAAGCCCACATTAATTTATACTACTCGACAAAACTGCTTTACCAGGTGACGAGTTAAAATGCGGTCTATAATAAAATTTGCAAAATGTATTTTCCTGCGGCCAATCTGCCATCTTCAAAATCTCGGGAACAGCAACCCCTTGATTTAATGCTTCCGATGTAGCGGCACCCCTTAATGAATGTGCAGAAAAAATCGCTGTATCAATACCAGCTAGACTTAATAAACGTTTTATCCACCTGGCCAACGTAGATGAAGATACCGGTTTAAAAGGCCGTATATGCGATAGAAAACAAAGGATTAGGTTGTGTATTGTCCTTTGGTCTGGACTCTCTAGTTTTATATTCATAAGATTTTAAACACTCCACAGGACATAAATTCTTATCCTGAGGAAAAGCTGCATGAAAACTAAGCTTTGGGGAATCTCCCACTTTAGAAGTCTTGGACAAACCAGGTAACTCGAAGGACACTCCTTCAGGAAGGAAGTACGGAATCGTAGATCTCTCTTAACCAGATCTGAAGATCTATCTGGAGCCGTAAGCCCCAGCATAATTACTAACTTAAATGATGACAGTTTGAGATCCAAATTCTCATTTTTACCCAGGGATCTAATAAAGGCTATTACAGTCCCAACCTTCCAAGTATACGAGTACCGTGGTTCAGGTGGTCTTAGATGGAAAACACCTTTTAACAGTTGAGAAACTAATGGGTGAGACCCCACCCTAAATGAATCAATCTCTGGTAAAAGAGTTGATACAGTTGAACGATACACATTTAGAGTCCTATATGCTTTCCCCTCTTCAAAGTGATCCTTAAGAAACTTTAAGATTGCACTTAAGGGTGCTGAAAGAGGATTGACTTTCCGCCTATCACACCAGCCATAGGCACCAGCTAACCCACTTATTCCAGGATGATGAATAAGTAGATGAGGTGTTCTTTCTCCAGGCTGCCAACAAAATGTTTCGAGTTGACTCCGAAATGTCTGCTGTTTCATAACGTTGGCTGACAGTCTCCAACCAGCCAGTTGCAGACTGGTTAGAGGGTGAGGCTGGTTGTCCCTCATTAAAAGTGTTGGGGACATGGGAAATAACACTGGGAGGTCTATGCACAGATGAAGCAGCAATGGGTACCATGGCTGAGCTGGCCATAATGGAGCTACAAGGATTAACTGCTCGACATTCTGAGTCATTACCTGCTGTAGACATCGACCTATCAAAGCAAATGGGGGAAAGGCATACCCCTGCCTGTTCTGCCAACTGATCGAGAATGCATCTGAATGTACTGCTAGGGGGTCCGGTCTCCAACTGACAAACTGTGGCAGCTGATAAGTTAGACGTGATGCAAAGAGGTCTATCTCTAAGGGACCCCAATTCATCACCAGAGACTGAAACATTACGGGGTTTAGTTTCCAGTCGCTGGAATCTAGTAAGAGACGTGATTCCCTGTCTGCTCTTATATTTAGATGCCCTGGAAGATGGTGAGCAGAAACCTCCATGTTGTTGTGAATGCACCACTCCCATAGGTCTAAAGCTAAATTCGATAGGCCCTGAGAGTGAGTTCCCCTCACTTTGTTTATGTATGCTACAGCTGCTGTATTGTCCATTAGCAACTTCACATGTGCACAAACCTTGTCCTTTGTGAAGGTCTTGATAGCCAATGACCCTGCTAGGAGTTCGAGGCAATTGATGTGCAATCTCTTTTCTTCCAAGCACCAAGGACCCCCTGTACTGATGCCCTGGCAGTATGCCCCCCAACCCTTTCGAGATGCATCGGTCTCGATGATCAGATCGATTGGTTTTTGGAACAGCGCTCTGCCATTCCATGCTAGGAGGTGATCCCTCCACCAAGCTATCTCTTCCCGGGATGCTTGATCCAGAGAAATCATGGCCTCGTAAGATTGGTGAGAAGCCATTGCTTGGTTTTCAGTCTCTGTAGATTTCTGAAATGGAGGGGAGCTGGGAAAACGGTCTGAATGGAGGATGTCAGGAGGCCCAGGAATTTTGACAATTCCCGTATTGAGACCTCTGCCTGATCTTGCAGCTTTTGGCAACGTTTTCGAATTTTTCTTAACTTCTCCCCTGGTAATTGAAGGGTAAGGCCCCTGGAATCTATTAACAAACCTAAAAATTCTAGTTGCTGACTGGGAACCAATTGGGATTTCTTGTAGTTGACCAAGAAACCCAGACTCTCTAACAGGTTCAAAGTTGATGCTGCCTGATGGAGCACAAGATCTTGAGACTCTGCCATAATAAGGATATCGTCCAAATAAATTATCAGTCGGATACCCCACTGTCTCAACAGTGCTACAACTGGCTTCATCAACTTTGTGAAAAC